TTTTAATTTTTGAAAATTTGAAATATCCCAAATAATCCCCACCCACCACCCAAAAAAAAAAAACACAGATAAAAAAACATATCCAAAGAACCAGAATTTTTGTGAAAGAGTTGGCAAATGGGAATAGCTTTTGGTGGAAATTAATTGAAGAAAGCATATATAACAAATGTGGATGGATGGATGGACATAGTCCCTCTCTAGCATCTCTCTCTCTTTTTCTAATTTAAAAATATTTAAATTCTATTTTGGTCTCCAACCTTTTAAATTTATTCTTTGAACTTCTAAAATGTCTCTATTTTAGTCCCTAAACTTTATAGCTTTGGTAGCAAAATAATATTACCACGTCTTGTCATTTTAAATAATTGATGTCAAAATAGGAAAATTGCATAAACAGAGAGGAAACAACAACGCATGGATTTGAACACAAGATCTCCAATAAACCATCATTCAACCTAAAATTAAGCTTAAGCTGATGAATTGGATTAATTTAATTCATATATTCCTGAACTTTTTAATCTTTGGTCCAATTGATTCCTCAACCTTGAAAATAATGTAATTTATCATAGAAATAAAATTGAAAGTTTAAGGATGGACCGGTAAATAAAGCCAAACATTTCACAACTATTTATGTTCCTTGTTTCATTTATTACAAACATTCTCAAGGTTATCTGGAAATTTTATGAACAACAAAAACAAGTTTCTTGTTTCTTGTTCCCGTTTACAATTTATACCAAAATATAAATAAAAATATTGTTTTATCATTCTTGATCTCATGAGGTGTTGAGTCCATGCAACAGAAACGTTATCATTACCAAACGGACCCTAATTTAATGGTTTCTTTAATTGATTTATAATGTTGTTGGATATTTATTTATTTATTGTAAGGATTCGATTTAATATACAATATATTCGTTCCTATTGAACTTGGAAAATATATTTCGGTAGTTGATTTAAGAAAAGGAACCGCCCAAATCCAAAGTATATAAGCATCTCCCACCCCATGGAATCCCTAAATCTTGTGCATATTCATGCAACTAAATCTCTTCACTACCCTCATTGCCAACAAAACAATGCTTTCTTCTTTTATTCCTCATCATCCTCTCCTCTCCCTTGTATCTTTGGATTTTTTCTCCAAACCTTCCCGTTTTATATTTTTGAGAAATGTAAGCGTTTGATAACTGCTATTGTTTCTCGTATTTGTATTTTATGTTTAAGGTTTTCAAAAGTCAAGTTTCTTGTTTTTGGTTTTTATTTCTAGCTTTTTTTTTTGCAAAAACGTGAATTAAAACATTATTTTATCATTCTTGACTTGTAAATTGCATAATGAATATCACTGATAAATATAACATAATTTTTTTAATATTTAATTTAAAAATTAAATTTTAGATTAAAACTTTTATTTATTATTTTTTTTATCCAAAGTTTTATAGAATGAGAAATGCTAAATAGTTACCCAACATGTTTCTATTTCTTTTTTCAATAATTAAAAAAAACAAAAAACAAAAATTAATAATCAAACACATTTATGTTTTTCATTAGTTGAAAAAGACCGAATAAGAACCAAAATATAGAAACATTATCAAATGGGCCTTACGTTTAGTGATGAAGCTAATATAGAATTGGAATTGTTGGGTTTGTAAGGGAATACAGACAAAGTCTCACATTGGTGAAGGAAGAGCATGATCCATGGTACAATTATCTTTATTGAGGCATTTTGGGTGAAACCAAAAGCGAAGCCGTAAATGACCATTGTGGGAGATACGTAGGAGGATCATTTGGAATAATATATATACTTTTTAGGTATAAATAAATATATCAAATGTTCTCCCCATTATCTTTTAGGTAATTCTCAATTTAGATCTTTTAAAATTCTTGATTTTACCTCATGTATTAAAAATTCTCAATTAAGTACTTTCATGAAAATGATTTGTTAAAATTTGTTAATATAAATCAATGTGCCTTAAAAAATTATTTTACCAACATCTTTAGACACATATTTTGGGTTCAGATTGCGTTGGAAGAAATTGACTGTGTTGATAGGCAGGTTGAATTTTACTTATGGAAGTTTATGTGTCAAAGTAGCATACGTATTACATATATGTCTAGTCGTCTAAATATGTTAACAAAACAACAATTTAATGATACATCAACTTTTTGTTAATAAATTTTGACATTTTTTTTACGAAATAACCTAACTGAAATTTTTTATTACATTAAGATAGGGATGACAAAAGTATCCACGGGACCCGATCTCCGCGGGTACCCGACCCGATCGGGTCGGGGATTTCCCGGTTTGACCGGAGACAGGGTCAAGCCAGGGATCCCAATTAGGTTCCTCCCCCGCCCCGTCCCCGACCCCGACCCTATCCCGTTTAATTTTTAAAAAAAACTCAAGCTAACACCTCATTTAGCAATTTTTTTTTTTC